TAGTACAAGACATTGCTTCCTATTGCTTTCTTATCTTTATGCACTCTGCAAAGATGCCCTTAAGCCTTACTTTCTTGCCCCACCCCCATCCTCTAATTCATTCGCATGTTGACATCAAAGTGATTTATCTCAACTATTAGTCTTTCCATGTTGCTACCCTGGCAACTGTTTAGCATGGTTTGACATTGGTTCTTAGAAAAAAGAAAACCATTAGAGAAAAGTGATAAACTGACTTGTGGGGAAAGGGGAGAGATTGTGAATTATTTGTTTCTTTCTAGACCCTTCAGGCTAGATAGCAATATTTCCATTTGATGGTTATGCATTTGACCACATCAAGGACAACCTACTGATAAAGAATCTGGTGCAAAGCTGAGAGCTGTAATTGATGAGGGCCCATAGTTGAGCATTCTGTTAGTTTAATATTCTTTAACCATGCTGGAGGTTTAAAAGAGTTCTACTTCCTAGTTAGGAGTGCGTTGTGACTTAATTGATTCATATCAGGTGTATTCTTCCAACTCTTGGGGCTTTGGAGTTCCCATCTATAATGAGGAGGTTAAACTTGGATGATCTGGTTTTCCCCTCAGGTCTACTAATATATAATTTTCTTGTTCCGTCTGAAGAACTGAGATTTGTAGTAAATAAAATTATTATAATAAATCAATCGATCAATAAATAAATAAATATTCTTCTTATGGCATTAGATCTATAAGATGAGAATAGAAAGAATAAAAGAATCAATTTAATTAAGTGGCTGGCTAAAAAATATAAAACAATCAAATTGATAAATTTAATATGTCAGAGAATAACAAGTTTTATCCCCATCTTTATCGGTTTGATTTCTGTCATTTAAGATGCCAATAGGTGATAGTTTTAAAATTAAGACGAAGTGAAATTTTATTGTGCAAGCATATTATATATATATATATATATATATATATATATATATATATATTGATCATGTTACAATGTAAGCATATGTATTGAGATATTTCAGCATACTCCAAAATGCTACAAGGCTCATCTTTTGGGAATTGATTGGCATAGAGGTTGTCTTCTTTATACCACTGTGCTTTAAATATTATGAAGAGAGGACTGCTTTACCACCGACAAACAAATAACTTGTTACTTGTTGCTGTGAATTAGGCTATGCAATCTTGACGACAAACTGCATTTATTAATAGTTGAATTCTTACACTTTATCAAGAAAAGTAATTACACATTACTAGTGTTTAGAGATTTTTTATCATAATGTGATATTCAATAGTCACATTATGATAAATCCTACCAAGAAAGGAAATAAATGTGATATTTAAATTGCCACTATTTTAGGTAAATATTGAATTTATATTATTAATTTTGAAACATTATATATCTTTAAAACTCCAGGCATGTAAAGAGCTTCCTAGTCACCTATACACTACAATTGGGAAGTTACTTGCTATATTATAAAACAATCAACAAAATAATAATAATTAATACTTATTTGGCACTTACTATGTGCTAGATCTGTATGAGTTTTAAGGCTTAGCATACATTTAATCCACGTTCGAAGGTAAATTACTGAGAGTCACAGCACTAGAGAGTTGTAGGATTTAAACCAGCAGAGATTAGAATAAATAGGTATGAGAAATGCTATCCTCAGCCCAGCAGTGGGCAATGGGAGTGGTTATGGATGAATCTTGAAGATAATGAGATCTCTTGGAGAAAAAACAAAACAAAACAAAACAAAACAAAGACTTCTCATGTAACCAAGTCAGAAGTCAACCTACGATTCTTGTAGTGGAAAAATACTTGGGATTCAGTGATATATTAGGTACGCTAGCTGTAGTGTCAAGAAGGTACAAAGTTTCTCTACAGTATCTGAATTTATTCATTTTGAGTTGAAGGTCCCATAGAGAGGCTGGTCAAAACAGTAACTTGCTGATCAGTAATATAACATGGTAGGTTTGTGGATGCTCATATGAACCCATTTTAAGACAGAACAAAACTGAGGAGGAGAAAGGGGAAAATGTCTCCCACTGAACAATTGCATTTGTCCATTAAAGTGAGGGAAGGACAGATGAAGGTGAGCCATTTAGTTTTAGTTAGTAACCTATGCTCTAGGATGTCAGTGCCTTTAAATCAGCAAGTCTATAAAAATGGATGTTGTAACTCCTGGGATACTGGGGTTTCAAGGTTAGAGCTCTAGCAATTTTAAGACAATAAAATGCTGAAGGAAATGGAAGGACAAAGCAGAAAAGAAAAGGAAGGAAACAATGGGATGGCAAAGTAAATCTCCAAAGATGCTGGACACTCACCCCTCTTGTGCTTCCAATCAATCATACTTTTATTCCCTCGGGCATCAGAAATGTGCTTCAATGGTTGGAGGAACACCCATGGGGAAGAGTCACCATGCAGGCTAGCCTTTTGTCACCCTAGCTTTAAGTAGACTAGTTCCTATCTTACTTATTTTATAAATTCCCATATATGATTTTTATTTAATGTGTTCTAAAGGTAAAAAGAGAAAAAAAAAAGGAAAACACCAAACAATTTCTCAAGGGGAGAGGCTAAAACATCTCTATAAAGTGTTCTTACAGATCATCCTTTAAAAACCCCTGCTTTTGAAAAGGATAGATATGCTAGCAAGGTTGCTAGGGTTGGGGCATTGAGAGGTCCTAACCACCAGTCAGTAAATCAGGTCTCTTCTGCTGTAAAAAGAATAGCTACAGCAGCAATAAGGAACAGTAACAACAGTGCCCATAGTAAGCTTCAGGGATGATCTGGGCTCGGGGAGCCAAATGCTTTCTTAGATTGTGTCATTTGATACTCTGAAGTTGTAACGAGAGGAATTTCTAGTATTGCGTTTCACAGATACTGTCATTCTTCTGCATGTGAAGATATGCATGTGTTTTAGGAATCTGGAAATAAATAGAATAAAAATTTTAAAAAATATAGTTTTTAATTAGGTTTGAAGAGCTCCTTGGGGCTTACTGCTGCTGAAGTAAGCACTAAATTAAGTGAGACAATCTATTCCTCTGAATTCAACCTAATTCTCAGTTCAAAAGGACAAATCACACATTGGTTCCCAATTCAGGAACGTCTGATCTCTTATTCCAAAAAAGAAGAATATATAAGATTCAGTTGGGTGAAATACTTTCCTTATTGAAACGAAAGATATTGTTGCAATTGAATTTTTGCTTAAGAATGTTTTTATTAATGTGCTCATTCAACAAATGTTTATTGGCCACCCACTGTAAGGTTTGAATATAGAGTCTACAATATACAATATTGAAAACAGGGTCGCTTGATATAAGCATACATGTTGAGAATCACCAAGTGCTCATTCAGGTACCACCTAGAGATCAAGTCTGATATTTAGCCTAGATTCAAAACCTATTTGTAAGGCTAAGCAGAATGTAGTTTATACATTGAATAGCCTGGTAAGGTTACTCAATCTTTCTAACTTTCAGGTTCCTGATTTATGAGATGAGAATAATAGAGTTTCCTTATATATAAATATAAGGAGCATCTCATAAAATCAAGTCTATAAACTTCTCAACACTGTGTCTGACACACAGAACACATTCAATACACACTTACTGCTACTGTGGTCACTGTTTTCTTTCTGAAAGGACTGAAATTCAGTGAGGGGAAATTACATGTCTGGGGTTTCACAGCTTGTGATGGTGAAGCAGTCTCAAATCTCTACTATTATTCAATGAAGTCTTATACTACACTACCCTTTTCCTTTTCAGGGGGCAGGTGACATAAGCCTCCCAGGCTTTTGAGAAATAGTGTGGCTTATCAAGGGAGAAAAGTCACAAAGAAATGTCTGACAGAGTTATGGCCCTGACAGTAATTCCAATATTTGAGAGGCTGAAGTAAAAAGATCACAGCAAGGCCATTCTGAGTTACAGAGGAACAAGAGAAAGAGAGATACAGATGCATAGATAGATAGATAGATAGATAGATAGATAGATAGATAGATAGATAGATAGAGGGTAGATGGATAGATAGATAGATAGATAGATAGATATAGAATATTTTTCTAAACTCAACCTAAATCTTATAGCTTTATAATACATAATAAATGAATCATTAGACAGATTGTTTTCCAGCTGTTTTGCTTGCTACCATGAAGTGGATACCTCCTCAATTGAAGATAAGTATAAGAAGACCTTCAGAAAACAAATGTGATTCACAGAAAGATACTGGAATCTCAGCTAGACAATACATTGTCTCTTTGCAAAGCAAGGGGAAATCTAAGTAAAGTTAAAATAGAAGCATAACTACTACAAAGACTTAAGGAATGATAGGCTTAAAAAGATAGGTATTTCACAGGAGTGGAAACTCGCAGAAATTGTTGAGAAATTTAGCAAAAATAAAAATAAAGACAGAAACTCTGTAACTGAGACACCATGTTATTCCTTTGTATGGGTACAGCACTGACAAACACTGAAACTGACTGATTCATTAAATGAAGGGTTAGAGATGCATAAAATAGCTACTCTGTCCATATGCTAAAAATAATGGCTGAGTTACAGTTGCCTAAGCAAAAGATGAGCTATTCTTTTCTGAAATTTACTTTAGCTTAATCAGAGGCCTGCAATCTTGGTTGTTTAACTACATAAAGAATATGAAAAATAGTACAGGGTTTCCTTAGGAAGAACAAGGCCAGTATGCTAATTTCACGAATGCATAGTGCAGGGCCCAGGAACTGGTGCCAGAAAGTCGAGTGAAAGGTCCCAGTCCACCACAAAGGATTCATTGTGTTAGACTCTGATGTAATTACTATATAAAGCAGTCGTTTTAGTACTGTGCACTTACAATTTGCTAAGACAGTAGATCTAGTATCAAGTGTTCTTTCAATAATTGTTTAGAAACTGCCCCTGTGTTACCTCATCACTGAATCTTGAGCTTGCTAACTTAACTCATCTGCTAAAGAATCACATTTTTCATACATGGGAAAATATCAGTAACACCTGAACTGTTTATTCATTGGGCAATTTTCACTTTTCCAGGGCATCAGGAACTGTTTACACAGCACTAGACATTGCGACTGGACAAGAGGTATGTGTTACTAATTGATCTGTATTACTTTATTTTGTGTTTATCAAGTTATCTTGTTGATAACTTGTGTCTAATGGGTAGCACTAGGTTACAATGGGTATGCGAAAACATCTGAAATAGAGAATGACTGACCAAAGAAAAGGTGCAGGTTTGTAGAATAGATACAAAATAGTAGATAAAGAATTTGTACATTTATATTCATGTATATTTTAAGTCATGTTCTTGTATTTTATTCATTATCCAGGTGGCCATAAAGCAAATGAACCTTCAACAGCAACCCAAAAAGGAATTAATTATTAATGAAATTCTTGTCATGAGGGAAAATAAGAACCCCAATATCGTCAATTATTTAGATAGGTAAGTGTTTTATCTTGTTATTTACATATTTTCTTCCTAAGATGTTATTTTCTTGTCTAATTCCTTATTTTAAAATATTTCTGAAATGATACAAAGCAAAAAAGCAAATCTTCATGAACCATCAAACACCTGAAAATATGTTTGATGGACCTGGTTCTAAAAGTCAGTAGTGTTTGTATGGTTTCCTGTGGAGAACGGTGGCTCCATGTTAAGAAGAAATACACTACTACATATAGGAAAACTCAGTGATGTTTGAAACATTTCATCAAGTGTCTTTTTGGAGCCATATGGCCCCTGAGAGGCTGAGTTAAGAGGGCAGACAATAGCCCTGCTTTAGTGGGTGCTTTATGATTAACTGACAGTGAGGTTGGGGGAATTGAGACTTTAATCTTAAACCTTTTTCCTAAAGCAGGTAATTAATGTCTCTTTCATCCGTGGTATTAAGAGTGTGTTACAAATAGGCACTTAAAGACAGAGCTAACTCTTCTCCCCGGGTTAACATCTGTTTCTTCTGAGTTTCAGTCATTGTACACTTAGACCACTCTCCTGAGTTCTCTGATGGGATGCAAAGAAAAGAAAATTAGGTTTCAACCTCTGTGAGCTTAAGGGCTCACTGTCAGTGTTAGGTCAATAGACATGGATGTAGTAGAGAAGGACAACTGAATTTTAAAGTTTTGAATCAGCGTTTTTGTTGTTGTTGTTTTGTTTTGTTTTTGTAGTGCCCTTTTATGCCCCATCTGCAACAGTGTGACATCAGTTAGATTTTTGTATTTATAGTTTTGTAAAACATTGTATTTGTACTTTTAAGAAGTCCTGAATTCTAGATTTTTCTTCATAATTAATGATAATGGAACCTGTGAATTTTGAATTTTAAGAGCTCTGCCTTGTGGATCCCTAAAGTACTGTAATTTGAGCAGCACAGAATAGAAAGTCTTATTTCATAGTGATAGAGGCTTTTGCTTTGTCTGGTTTCTTCTTTAAATATCCCTGTTACTCAGGCTGGCCTGAAACTTACCACACACCTGAGGTTAGCCTTAAATTCTGAGTTGTCATGCTTGCTTTATCTTCCCAAGTAGGTGGGCTTATAGGTGTATGCCACCATACCAGGCAGATATATGTGTATTAAGGCAGAGTGAAGTCACTGGGGTTATAAGAAGATTTTGCTAACTGATTTTAATAACCTCCTACTGTTTTCCTGAATGCTGAGGCTATCCAGTGACCTTGTTCCTATTTTTGAGCACTGAAGATTGTTTCTCAATAATCATTTAAAGATAATTGGTGTGGCCCTCTTCACAATTGACTTTCATTACAAATAAGGCCTGAGAATATCAGAATCTCTACTTCCTTAGTCCAAAGTCAAAGTAGTTTTTTTCTTTTCTTATAGCTACTTAGTGGGTGATGAATTGTGGGTAGTCATGGAATACTTGGCTGGTGGCTCTTTGACTGATGTGGTCACAGAAACCTGTATGGATGAAGGACAGATAGCAGCTGTCTGTAGAGAGGTAAGAAAAGAGAATGTTTCTTACTGGTGAGAAATAAAATTTGCCAATGCTTTCTTACTGGTTATTCAGAGCTTTCTAGCATCAAAATAACAGCATACTTTTCTTCTGAAAAAAAAATGGAAAATGTGTTAAAACTATAACTTAATGCCATGCCCTTGTTTCGCCTTTGCCAGATCGTTATCTAGTTACGTTTTTGTGGCTCTTACATGCTCTAATATGCCGTTCAGGAGACACTGCATCTAAGCTCATATGCAAGAGTGTCAGTGAACATGGCCAGTTGTTATGTTCTCATGGCATGCCTTTCTGATCTGTGGGGAATTTATACAAGATAACTGTTATGTTCTGCATGTTCCATATAAGTCCCATAGAATACAGACTGCATTATACTCTCATTATTTTCTAGAAGGCTATTTTTTAATTTTAATATGTGTGTATATGTGTGTGAGTGTGTGTGTGTGTGTGAGTGTGTGTGTGTGTGTGTACACGCGCCCGTGCAGTATGTGTACATATGGATATCAAATAACAACCTTGGGGACTCAGTTCTCTACTTCCATCACGTGGGTTCCAGGAGTTGAGATCAGGTTGTAAAGCGAGGCAGCAAGTGTTGTGACCTGTTGAGTTATCTCATGGACCCTAGAAAGCCGCTTAACCAGTTTTCCCCAATCACAGAAAGTAATTGCTTTCACAGTATTCTGTTAATATTCCTTACAGCCCTCTAGTGGGCCTGAGAATCTGTCACTTATAAAGAAAGATAAAAATGCATTCAATTTCAAAACAATTTGATGGTGTTTTGATTTATTATTTTGATCAATATTGTTTTAACAACAAACACTTTTCAGTGGTGTCTCATAATGAAATTTTCTACAAAATGAAATCGAAACATGAAAACTAATGAAAGTGCAACTAAGCTAAATAATACTAGGTAATCCTTCTGCTAACATGGTTCTCTTCAATTTCCTTGTTCTTTTTCCCCACTTGTTCCCATTTCTCCTACTCTACACATTCACATATAGCAACAAATTATGTTTTCTCCTATACCAGAAATGGAGTGGATATTCTTTATAGGATATTCTACCTGAGCCTGAATTTTGTATTGTTTAGTATTATACGACAAAGTTATTTCCGAACAAGTACCTTTAGTTACTTTAGAACTGGAAGCCATTCTCAAACCTATCCGAAATACCCTAAGTAAATTATTTCACTTGCACATTCTTGTTTCCCACACTAGATCTACTGAATCAAACCTCAGCACGCACACTGAGGGTTACAACATCTGTATGCAACCAAGCTGAATCCACATCACCTAGAAAACAAGAGCAGAGCATAGTTATATTAACTGGTCAACAGTACTGTAGTGATGTTTAGTACTGTTCCTTGCCTTATCCTCTTCATGGTTTGGTCTATAGTATGGCATGGGAGCTCTCAAATACATAAGATTGAGTATCCTTGCTGTTGTAAATGCTAACACAGCTTGAAAATGGTGTTGTTGCATTCAGTACTCAACTTCACTTAGTAGTATGTAATCACAACCTTTTCCAAAATTTGCCTGGAAATGAGATATAAAATTAAAAAAAATCTTTGTGATATAATTAGAATTTTTTTCTCTGATCCAATAGTGCCTCCAAGCTTTGGATTTCTTGCACTCAAACCAAGTGATTCACAGAGACATAAAGAGTGACAATATTCTCCTCGGAATGGATGGTTCTGTCAAACTGAGTAGGTATTTTTTTCGGAAATTTAAGAAAGTGCTAGGGGATTTCTGCTGTTGTAATCTCTAGCTTGAGAAGAAAATGGCTACTAGAAGTGATTTATCTGAAAACAGAGCTTGATTTGAATTAAACAACTGGTTTCGTATTTTCCTTCTATAGATTGTAACCAGATTTAGATTTAATATTTTAGATTTTAGATTCTACTGGCATCTAAAATTAACAGATGGCAAATAACTAACTGGAAGATGGAAAGTACTGGGAGGTCATTCTATGGAAATTTACAGAAAATGGCAGCACTTCTGTTAATTTTTTTCAGACCCCTTTAAACTCAGGAGCAGCTGAAAGGTCAGGAAAGGATCAGGATATGAATTAGGCATTTGGGAGAGAGCTTGCTTTAACATTAAAGGAAGGTTTAGCAACGTGAGAAAATAAGCTATTGCAAAAATTGTATTTGGGCTCATTTTAATAGATTTCTTCTTCCCTACAGCTGATTTTGGGTTCTGTGCCCAAATCACTCCCGAGCAAAGTAAACGAAGCACTATGGTGGGAACTCCCTATTGGATGGCACCTGAGGTGGTAACTCGGAAAGCTTATGGTCCAAAAGTTGATATCTGGTCTCTGGGAATCATGGCCATTGAAATGGTGGAAGGTGAACCCCCTTACCTTAATGAAAATCCACTCAGGGTAAGTCAGGAAAATTTAGGTACTTCTTACCCCACCCCCCATAAATGGGGGAAAGAAAAAAATACCATTTTATGATTCCCCAAAACTGGTCAGAACTGACACTTTTTTGGAACAAGTAACAGAAAGACAACGAGTTATGATGGATAAATCGCTCTAAGAGCGAAGTGCCTTGTTCTCGGTCCCTCTAACAACAAGAGCCTTTAATATTCTTTAGTGTACAGCTGTCTGCTATAAAACTGTAGAAATGGGTGAAAGAAAAGATGTGGGAAGAACAACAGGCGTTTTTATCGTGTGCTATGGTTAAATGATCCGCTAAGGAAACCTTTGGTTTGTAACTACTTTAACAAAGTAAAACAATGCATTTCCAGAACACTTATCATTTTTAAATTGCATTTTTCATTGCTATCAGCAACAAGTCATTGACCAAGAACAGTTTGGTTGACACTGAATGAAACAGACATAGTCATAGCACCAGCATGGTGAAATCACAAACTTAATTAGAAGACTATCAAATACAAGAGAAATGAAAATTATTTGAATTAGAGAATCAGTTTCCTACTACATAATTGGGAGTTTGATCCTCAAATGGTTCAGTTACCTCTGTAAAGAAAAATAAATTAAAATGAGAACCCCCACCTTGTAGCCTAACCTCCATTGTCTTTTTTCAGAGATGGCAGTTGAAAATGAGGATAAAAGTCAAAGAAATAAAAAAAAGCAGTTGCTTAACATAGACGTAAGCCAGAAGCTATTAGGCTGGGTATATAGCCTCACAGTAAACCAGAAGCAGTACTTCATATGCATAAAGGACATGAGATTGTTCTTAAAAGGAAATAGCCACAAATTGAAATCTACTCTTAAAATTCATACACAGCATCAGTGCCAAAAGCCTTGTCTGTGTCATTATACAAATTCATGGTCCTTAGTCAACTGTATTCTCATTATGTTTGGAAAATCTATATTCAAGCCAAATCTATGTGACTCTTTATATATGTAAATAAATCTGTGAACTAAATGTCTAGTTGTTTTTGCAGTTGAAAATTGTATAATTGAGAGCCATGCTTCTAATATATAGAAAGAAGCCTCCTTTAATTCTTCCTCCTTTAGATTCTACTCTGGTACGTGGCTACTGGTCCTCATCTCTACACTGATTAGAAAACAACAGATATGAGAGAATGCCCTAATGAATTCTAGGGCTGTTACACTTGTCTCACAAAACAATCTGGAAGTGAGATGTGTGCAGTGATTAGCTGCCTGCAGGACTGAGTAGAAAAGAAGGGACATTCTCACCATTTGTGGGTCAGCTCTCCATGAGTTTAATCAAGTCCACCTCTGACCTGTGGAACAACGCGTCAGGATAATTAGGAGGGCTTTTCTGTATTGTCCAAGTACCTTTGCCCATTAGGAAACATCACTGAAAGAACACATCAGGTCTGTTGTTTCTATGGATTTCCTCCTCTAAGTCTTCGAAGTGTAGTGGCACTAAACAGATCACAGCTAGTTTGCTTTCTGCTTTCTGCTGAGTAATTTACAACCTGGAGAATTTAAGGACTAAATAAATGGCTCTGGAAGGTAACTGGACTCAGGAATGCATTTCTTGCTCTCTTCTGTTTTCCAGTCATAACTGATCTCCCTTTATCTAGACTGCTAATTACTAGGGGGAAAAAAAGGAAACAGGTTTTAACCTCTGTAGGCATCTTCTAGCCTGAGATCAGAACTCATACTTAATAGCTTGTCTCTCAGAATCCGTGGGCTTCTATCAAAACAAGTACTTGCAGATTAATAAACCACAAAGTTCAGGAAGCCTACATTAATACTATGAACAAAAAAGAGCTGTCAGAAAGACCACCTTTTTCAATTCCACTGATAAGAATGGACTAACTTTGTGCCTTACTCTCTTCATCAGAGATCTTGACCAGCCTCTGGGAGATTAATCAACAAGTCCATATTGAGCCAGCCTAATTCTGAAGCTCTTCTCTTCTAGACACCAGAAATACCCATAAGCTTTCTTTGTAAATTTGCTGTCCTGGTGTTTTCTTAGAGAAAACACAGTGTCTTAGCCTAGATGCTCTTATCTTGGATTCAAAAACAAAACCATATTCACTGAACCCATGGGAAGATTACAGACAGAAAGATAGTGTGACACTGTAGGGAGCCTACTTTTTCTTGGATTTTGGTAACTGCACACTATGTTGGGAACTAGAAAAATCATGCAACTTTAGGAGCGGGATGAAAGAGCTCTCAAGTCTTTCATTAAAACTACCCCAATCTGCTACCAGTTCACTATTTGTGGGCTTTGAAACAGATGGAGAGAGAAGGGAGTGAGGAAAAGAAGATAAAACTGTACTCTAAAGGGTGGCATGTACTTGTGGGGAAAAAAAGAAACCTCAGTTAAGTAGTCAGGCGGATCCATGTATGTCCTGGCTATGTAACTTAAAAGCTCAGGAACATTTTGCAAGTCACTTCAAACTTTTCTAACCCCATTTCCTTTCTGGGAATATGGATAATATCCATCTTGTGGAATCCACATCAAAGTCATGAATAATTTATATAGATCACAGAGCTCCATGCTTAGCTCACTGTAGAAAATCTATGTAGAAATTCATGAACATGAGGAGAAAAGATATTTAAAGTGGTTTTTACTCACTCATCGAATGAATTCAGCATTTCTCCAAGGAATTTTTACCCCATGGCCCAATACCTCTCACGGAGGAGAGAATTGTGTAGAGTTCAATGGAATTACCATAATTAGGTAGATAGCATTAAACAGAACAAGTCCAAGGTAAAGTCTCAGGCTGTGCATTACAAAGTTGCTTGCATTTCTCTGTGACTTACATTTTTTGTTGTTGTTATTGTGCTTGATTCATCTGAGCAAACTGTCAGAATTGATTGCAGATATATATGTGATAGAAAAAAATTAACTATTGATAAAAAATGAATACTTCTTTTGCCTAGTAATAAAAGGATGAAGATTTTAAAATATAAATAAATGTCCTAATATGCTCATGAAATACTTTTAAAAGCTCAGGGGGTTATTAGCTGTACTAATGATACGATGTTGGTAACCCTTCCAGAGACAGAGGAGACAACCTTCTCATTGTAGACCCCAGACCTTGAAGTCTTTATGCTCAATGTAATTGGCCTTGGACAGAGAAGTTCTGTGACCCATGGACATTTTTATGTAGCCACCAGTAATTAAGTGCCTCATGCCTTCTGTTTGTCAAAGGAACTGGGGTTTAAAGCAATCCAGCTTTCTCTATGAATATGCAAATCAAAGATTTATCTTTTGTTGATACCACCTTTCCTAATAATCGATGATATTTTTTGCTAAAAACTGTTATCATAATGACTTGTTCTAAATAAGGAGACAGTTATTTCTGACAAACAAAATTTTGTTCTGCTTACCAGCACAAATAAATTACCTTTTTAAAAAAGGTAAGTATACTAGCACACATAATAGGTTTGTTCTTATCAAGCTGTAATGGCTTTTGGTAGTATAAAATTTCTCAATAATGTTCACTTGAAGTCTATATAGAACCTTTTATAGTCCTGCTTTATGTGCAATTTCTAGCCCCTTTTAAGTGTTGAGCTACTGGAAGACACTGGTACCAGTGCTAGAAGCAGTCAGAGGTATGGCATGTGAACCATATAGCCTACTAGTTTTCCTCCTTGATTTTACATTGGAGCCCTCTGTGGAGTTTAAGAATCAATGCTACTGGATTCCATCCCCTAGGAAAAATTGGAAACTGGGACTAGTCAAAAGGCAAACCTATATGGCAAGACCATAATAGAGTACTGTCTGCAATGAAATATAGTTCTTCATACCTCTTTGAACACAGTTGTTTAACCAGGAATGGGCAGTCTTAGTCTGCTTACACTTGCCCATTTCCTTTAAGGAATCATAACTAACAGCAACAAAGCCTAATTGAAGTCTTTTTCTTCACTTCTTCATTTTCAGACCCAGCAATCTAGAAACACTATACATCATAGTTTCTTTTCTGTTGCTAAGATGAAAATATCCCGACAAAAGCAACCTAAGGGGAAAAAATATTTATGCTTAGAATTTCATGATACAGTTTATTGTTTTGGGGAAGCCAAGGCAGTAGGAACTTGAAGCAGCCAGCCACAATATATCCACAGTCAATACGAGAGAGCAGTGAATTAATTATGATATGCTAGCACTCAGTTAGCAGTCTTCATTCTTCTACAATAGAGTAGGTAGGTCTTCACCAGTCAATTAATGTAATAAAGAAAATCCCCACAGACATGCCCCTGGGTCAGCCAAATCCAAATAACCTCTCACTGAGACTCTCTTCTTAGATTATTCTAGATTATACCAAATGAACAATTAAAATTATCACATTCTCAAAACGGAACAATGTTAATTCAGCATACATCTCGATGAGATGCATTTTTCTTTTTAATTTTGTCTCTTCTGAAAATGGTGTTCATCTTTAAAAATATGCTAGCAGCTTTGTTCCTCGCATATATTAGAGCATAATGTAGCCATGGGTGTGACTATGTGGGAGAGAGTACATTACCTCAGTGACTATGGAGAAAGAAGGATAGAATCCAAATGAAGGCGCCTGTTGTTGCATTTAGAGACTCTCTACCTCTTTACTGATACTTAAACTATCATACAAAGGTCAATTTTCTTGCTTTTTCTTTTCCCCATATGATCAGGAAAATTCTAGAGCGCCTGTATGTCTCAAGAACATCATCCATAATGAGAGAAGCCCTACTGAACAACAGCAACTAAGGGCCAAACTACATCTTGTTCCCTCCAACCACTGGAACCTGTGCTGTGGCTTGGAATGTCTGGGTTTGATGGCGCGTGCTCATTTGGAATTAAAGTCAGACATAAACTTCCTGAACACCAGAGAAGCAAGCATACTTTGCTAGCACTCTGTCAATATTGTTTTGAATGTATTTCAGGGAGAGCTGGGAGCACTCCCTTCTTTTTCCATAAGCCACTGTGGAGCAGCAAGCTTTATTGATGGGTT